AAGAGTTTCAGGCTTTTCTTTGCCGTGAATCTCTTTCTCCTTCACTGCTTTCTGAACACACTGCTGGAAGTGCATAAGGAGATAGATGCGCAGGTCCTGGGGAGAGACCCCTTGAGGAATTGGGCAAATCAGCAACAGAAGGACTGGTCCTAGTCATGCTTCTTGTCCAGGCAAGCATCTCCCCTGACTGCAGTGACTGCTACCTATATTTCTAATGTCACATTAGATTATCTATAATCCAAGCTAGGGTTTGTAGCTTACAGTTACTACATGGGAGAATGTGGGTGTTGGTTTCCATGCAATTTTTTACCTAAGTTTAGCTAAGCTTATCGATAGGCGAACTCAGAGGGTAGAAACTTAAGAGTCCAGATTTGTCAACTCCAAGATAGAGAACTGCAGAGAGGGAAACTAGAGGCAAATGAGTTGCTCACCCTAAACTGTTAATTTGAAAAGGTTTCATTAGCCTGGTTCAATTAATGTCTGTCAATAAATTATAAGCTAATGAAATGTTGGTCCCGGCAAGCCTGGTTCCAGGCTTGTCTGTATGTGAGGCAAGCGGTGGCCACTGGCCAAGGCTGCAGAATGCTTTCCAGCTGAAATCTGAGCCAGGCTCCTGGGAGACCAGAGGAGCCCAAACAAACATCTGGGCCTTCTGAGCTGCTTTCTATTTTCAGTTTTTATAACAAGTCTTCTCTGGATTTCTCTGTAAAAACAAAACACACCATGCTTTTACTTAGAAGAGGCAGAACCTTCTGTTTGCAGCTCTAACTTGAGTTACATCAGGAAGATGTGTCACTGTTTAAACAGGGTGTCTTTTTGCCTGTCTCAACCTTCTTTTTGCTTCTCTCAACTTTCCATTCCCACTGTGTCACTTCTCTTTTTTATTTTCATTCCTCATTTTGATTTCTCGTTATATTCCTAAACGTCCATGATGGCCAATGTGTGAATAAGAACATCCATCTGTCACAATAGCACTTGGTATGCTTGGGCAACTGACAACCTGAGATGTTAGACAGGTGCACAAGTTGGAACTGGACACTGGTGCCATGATGGTGACAGGCACCCCCAGGCTGGAGATGTGTGTGATCTGCTCAACACAGTGCCCTTCTAAGACATGGGATGTGATGCCGTGGGCTGCGCTTTTCCCAGGTGACCCCAGCCAGTCTTCTTAACTGCCCCCTCATTTGCCCTCCCCAAATGCCTCTGACTCAGCCCAGTGGGTACCTGGTTAGAAGTTTGGTGACAGCCCCAGTGCCACATATGTAGTCCAAGGCTGTGCTTTGTTTAAGGAGTGCTGTAGGTGACGCTGGAGAAGTCTTGGGCCACACTGAAAAACTATCACCTGAAAGATTTTCCAACTAGTCTTTATCTGTGTCAATGTGTCACACACACACACACCCAAATCAGATTGTATAAAAATAATTTCTACATTGTACTAGTACAATAGAAAGCTGACAAAATGAGAATACACATCTCCTTAACTCAGAGGTTCGCTTCTTGTAAATACACTGAAGTTTTATGAAGGAAAATAAAGAATAAAATTTGTAGGGCTGGGGAAATTGCTCAGTAGAATAAGCGCTTGTCTGGCAAGTGCAAGGTCCTGAGATCAATCCTCAGTACCACAAAAAAAACGCAACATCTCGTATGCAAAAAAAAAAAAAAAAAAAGAATAATATTTGTAAATGGAGGATACAGAAAACAGCAACTAAAAGATCATGGGTGCATAATGTAGGAGAAATAATGATAACAGATTTGAAAACATTTTTCTTTTCAGTTCATTCATTCTCACAACTTAATGTTTGTGTCCTGTGTGAAGTAGAGCTCAGGATTCCTTTAATCATCCTCCCAGCTATGTACCTGGTTGATCTAGCTTGGTTTATTGGGGAGAGAAAACCACTACCTGTCAGAAAGGTGGTAACTATAGAAACATTGCTCCTGTTGTGGGGACCTCAGCTGCACCCTCTGTGTTTACTCAGTTGTTTTAAATAATTAATTACCACACACTCTTACTCACATTAAGTTTATAACTATTAACATCCAGGAGTTAAACATCTTCCAGCTTGTTCTTCAAGACTGCCTCAGTTAGTTAGGCCTTCTGAATTTCTGTATGAATTCAGAGGAACCTTGTCAACATTTATAAATAACTTGCTAGCATGGAGTGGAATTGAGTTTATAGGTCAGGGTCTGCAGGATTAATATCTCAATATGTGATATGATATCAACCTGTTTTAAAAATATCATCTTTAAGGGCCATCCAGATAGCTCAGCAGACTAAAGCACTTGCTTAGGCAGACGCAGGGGCCAAGGATTTGATCCCTTGCCTACCTTGCCGGCCCTACCCCTGGGGTGCACTGAGACACTAACTGAGGCTGGGTGTGGTGGTGCTCACCTGTAAGCAGCATTTAGGAGGCTGAAAAACAGTAGAATCACTACCAGTCCAATCTGTGTAGTGAGACCCTGTGGACCCTGTACTAAATACATAAAAAGAAATGCTACAAATGTTAGTTTTTATTTCAGCCATTTTTTGTTTTGTTTTGCTTTGACTTTTTGAAACAGGGTCATGCTATGTAGTTTAAGATGACCTTGAACTCAGTGATCCTGTTACCTCAGCTTCCCAGTGCTGGGATTACAAGTGTACACTACCAGGACTGGCTTCTCAGCAATTTTTGAAATTTAATTATAAATGATCTTGTTATTCTTTTCTAGCTATGTTTCTTGATTTTTAATGTTTGTGCTATTTTATATGGTATTTCTGAAATTTTTACTTCTTTGTATACAGATATGGTTGATTTTTTCTATATTGAAAGTATCTTCAAAACTTGGTAGTTCATGCTAAATTTGAATTAGATCTATTCTAATAAATTAGCCATAGATTACTTTGGAGTCTCTTCATATAAGTTATGTCACAGAACATAGATTGGAATTAGAAAGTCTATTCTACCAAGTCCAAGTCTATTCTACCTTGGTAACCTGTGTAACTTCTATATGCCCCACTATCCTCAGAAGTAAAATCAGGACAACTGACCCTATCCCAGCACCACTGCAGGATTAAACAAGACAGCGCCGGTGGAACAAGATATTAGAGTCTTTCTGATTTCAATGTCAACTGAATGTCAATAGTGGAAATCATAATACATCCTAATGTAAGTGACAGACGGGACAACCCCACATCTCCAAGGGCAGAAGGGATGAGGGGAACATGAGAACTATTTGTCAATGAATCTTAAACTACCTCACCTTCTTATAGAACAAGGGTTAAGATGTAGAAGGGCATTTTGTGAGGAGTTACATAATTGAGGAGATACATAATTTATTCATAGTGATCACAGAACTTTGAGATCTCATTGTACCTCTGTAGGGGCAAAGGATGAAGGGATTTTTTTCTAAGTCCAAGTTATGTGGACAGTGGTGGGAACTGATTTCTATGGAATCTTCTGGAGAACAGTGAACTGTTTCCAGTGGTTGTGGAACACAGAGCACTTTGCCTCAAGTAGGCCAAGTTCTGACTCCTAGTTGCTAAGTGGAGACAGAGAGAGAGACAGACAGACAGACAGACAGACAGACAGACAGACAGACAGACAGAGACAGAGAGAGTAGGGCACTAGCTTATCTATTGCTTTGATACAGAGCAAGGAAAGCGCTTGCTTGCAGTTGCCTGGATTCCTAGTGGTTGTTGAGGCCAGTGTTGCTGGCATTCCTAGGAGACAGCTGGATCCTGTATTTATGATGCACAACATGGTATTTGGATATATGTATACATTGTGAAACATCGCAGCCAGACTACATAACACATGTATTACCTCACATTTATAATTTTTGTTGTGATGAAGACATCTAATATATTCTAAACAATTTTTAGAAATAAATAGTACATTATTATTAATTCTCTAGTCAGTATGTTACACAATAAATCTCCTGAACTTATGTCTCCTGAGTGAAACTGTATATCATTTCACCAATATCTAGCCAATCCAGCCCTACACCCTTGCCCCCTGGTAAGTGCCACTGCACTCTACTTTTATGAGTTCATCTTTTGTAGATTCCACACGCAGTGTATAAATGATGTCATGCAAGTATGGTCTTTCCTTACCTGACTATTTCACTTGCCTTAATGTTTCCCCAGTTGAGCCACATCATTGCAAATGACAGGACCTTTTCCTTTCTTAAGGCTGAATAGTATTTCATTATGTATGTATACCATATTTTCTTTACATGTGTATCTGCTGTATCTTGCCCTTTGTGAATAATGCTGCTGGAAACATATCTGAATTCAGTTTCTTTGGGCATATACCTACAAGTAGAATTCCTGGATTATACGATAGCTCTATCTTTGAAGAACCTCTTTACTGTTTTCCATCATAGCTATACTAATTTACACTCCCACTAGTGGTGTGTAATGTTCTCTTTACCCCCTTGCCAGCACTTGTTATCTTTTTGATAATAGCCATCCGAACAGGTGTTAAAAGACCTCATTGTGGTTTTAATTTGCATTTTGTGATGGTTAGTGGTGTTAAACGTTTTTCATTTACCTATTTATATGTCTTCTTTTGTATAATGTTTATTCAGTTTCTTTGCCAATTTTAAAATAGGAGTACTGTGTTTTCTTCTTAGCGATTTCAGCTCCTCATATAGTTTTCATATTTTTAAAATTATTTATTTATTTATTTGGTACAGGGTCTAACTATGCAGTTTAAACTTGTAGTGATCTTCCTGTTTCAGCCTCGCCAGCACTGGGATTACAGGCATGCACCACACAGCTGGCTTTGGTGGCTGCCCCCTACCTGGGGGCAGGGCCAGTGTGGCATGTGGTGCTGGGATCAAATCTGATCCCTTCACTTGCCTAAGTGTAGTACATTTTTCAGGGGAAAAGAATTCTTTCCTGTTGAGCCATGGAGTCTTGCTATTATCTTTTATAGTCACTATGTTAGCCAGTGTTTTGTCAGTGTGACAATAAACTTGACACCAACACTCTAAAGGAAGAGAGATTTTGTTTTTGGCTCATGGCTTCAGAGGTTTGTGCTGGTGGTCACCAAGTTCCATTGGCTTTTAGCTTTTGGTAAGGCAGAAGCAGCATGGCAGCAGGGTGTGGCCAAGGAAATTTCCTCACCTCACGGCAACCAGGAAGTAGAGAGAGGAGAAAAGAGTCACGGAGGAAGGTGCTAGAGACAAGAAGCATTCTTCACAGGCTTGGGCCTAGCAACCTATTTCCTCCACTGGGCCCCACCTTGTATGAGCCCGTTCAGCTCAAAGCTCCTGCACTTAGCACCCCCAGGATGCAGCTAGCCCTCCAGGCCTCTGAACGTGGATGCACTTGGAATCAAGTCTTCAGTACACTCCTTTGGGAGACTCTTCATACTTGAACCAAAACAAAGGCCTTAATGTGTTTCTTCCTGACACTCTCTCTCAACCTGTTTTCAATATCTGTGCCCATACTGATGTTCACATGCAAACTATTAAATATTTTCCTCTATTGAGTCAACTGACTATCTTAAAAATTACATTCCAAATGCTTATTCAAACCCTGTTCAGATGTCTCAATGTAAAAAAATGGTAAGAATAACAGTTTTTACCACTGAAATGATAGAGATTAAATATCCTGTTAAAATTATTGTACCACTACTAAATTCCATGTTTTATATGTAAGAAAAATGCTGATGGAAGTGTTCAGGCTTTAAACATCATTAAGAATGTAATATGATTTAAAAGTATTATAAGCTTAGAATCTATACAAATAACTTCATGGGAGTAAATTTTAATTATATA